GCAAGAAACCAGGGTGCCCTGTCTCTTGGGAAGGCGGAGGGAAAGGCTACGGATCGGGACGTGAGGGGAAGGGTGCGACGGGAAAACCCAACAAGATCCGGGGAGAACAGGCTGGGACGACACGAACCACTTTGCTGAGTCAAATGCTTTTGCCCCGTGGCCTGGCAAACCCTGGTGATGGGCAGGGCGGAGGTCTGGTCCCGGGCAGCGGGGGCCAAGCGTGGGCTCCAGCCCCTGTGCTGTCACGGGGAGCCTCACGTCCCTCCTCGCGTGTCTGCGATCCTTTCGGCTCTCTTGGCCCACATGGTGGGCAAGAGAAGACCACGGTTTGGAGTCAGGGCACCGTCCCGCCGTGAGGGAGGAGAGGAGCCGCGGTGAGGCTGGACCGAGTCATCAGCCCCTGGCAATCGGGGCGGGAGCGGCGGGCCGGACCGGGCATGTGCTCCGGGGAAAAGTGTAGGGGAGGCTGGGAAAGGTGAGGCTGTGGGACCGTGAGGAGTTGATGAGTGAGATACAGCTCCCTGTGATCTAAGGGGTAAGATGAATGTTTCTGCAACTGGGTAATTCTAGCCCTGAGATTTTGAAGAGGGAATTAGGAGGATTTTCACATTTCCTATTCTAAAATGCAGATGTGAAAGTTGACTTTGAAGCTCTGGCCAGTTCATTCTCCAGGCTTTTATGCGAGTTCTCATATTCGGGGCTGACGATCTGGAGATGGATAAGATGTGGAATGAAGTAACCCAGTAACAATTGTTTTCCCTCTGGTAATTGTTGCGATAAAAGGCTTGGGGGAATTGAATCGCATGTGTAAACCACCGTCGCTCTCCATGCTACTTGACAGACGTGACGACCAAGCATCATCCTACCCCGAGGACCACACCGCCAGAAAATGACAGGCTCCATCTCTGACTTTGAAGACCCACCGAGCGCCTTGATAGCGTCCAACCCATTAGCCCTCTCTGCTTTTATCCTAACCCCGACCTTTCCGCAGTCACCTCGCCGCCCATGCCCTTCCCCAGCAGGATGTGGGCATGCAAAGGCCCCTTGCCCGCAGCACCCCGCGCCCGCGGGCAGATCCGGCGGCAGCGGAGCCCCGGAGCGGGCAGGGCGGCGGCGAGCCGCGCCCCGACATCAAACGGGGGCAGCGGCGGCGGCACCCCGGG